CTAGCTTGGATACGTATTTGAGCAACCACATCGGATCGACCTCCATCATGGACTACAGGAACGGCAGACTCCTCATCGAGCACTGCAGGCAAGAAGCAAATCAACACTTGCAGTGCTCAATCTGTTGTGCCCCGAGAGTGGCCTGGTCGCCATGGCCCCAACCCCACAACGCAAAGACTTAAGTTACTACGTTCACCATGAGATCATCCCAAGAGAAGAAGGCAACGGCAACTTGTCTTACTTGTATGTGCTGATAAAGGTAACCACGGATAGAAAATACATTGTGCATGTATATGTGTCTCAAGATGGTATCTATTGCTGCACGCATAACTTAGTTGTACACCAGCTCCCTTGTGTGCTGCCGGAACCAAAATCTGTGCTCGGGGACAATAAAATCTACATGGCAGCTGCCTCTCGAGTGATATTCTTTTCTTGGATCTGATGTCCTCGAGGTTCTCCAGAATTCAGCTCCCGCATGGGGTGAAGCATGGTGAGAGAAGCACCAGGTTGTCAACTGTCTACGATGCTGCTGGTATATACCTTATCCATGTCAAAGAACTGCAACTTCACATCTAGGAACACAAGGGAGAGGACTGGTCACTGGTGGACACCTTTTATTTGAGTGAGATGTTGGCCAGTTTGTGCATGTTAGGTTGCAATGCTTCTCTACTTGGGTATCAAGTGCTGAGTTTGTATATTTGGAGATGGGTCGATGCGCACTCTACTTGGATATCAAGTGCAGGACACTGCATAAAGTGTATGAGATGACAAAAGGGATTCGATATTTTGCTGATATCCATCCTTTTATAATGATCTGGTCTCCAACATTCCCTACGCTCAAGGATGATCCTGCAAGGTTTGCCTCTTTGCCTTTATGGAATCTGAATATATATTTCTCTTATTTAGGTTACAAACCTCTGTAATTGACATTGTGTTAATATCCTTTCCTATGTTACTACTTTGTTTTGCCATGTGCTTCAAAATTGAAATTTGTTGTGGGTGACATTGTCACATTGGTAATCCTACATTAATTTTCGAGAAATAATGAAGCACACACTGGCGTTGGTCAAAACTAAAGTTGAATGAAAGAAGTAGCATTGGCAATGGTCGAAGCTCATAGATGCAATGGTTGAAGCAAAGTGCATGTACTAGAACGGAAGCACACAATAGCAATCGATGAAGCAAAAGTTAACTACCCACTAGTAGAAAAACCCCCATTCGAACCGGTTCGCGAGGGCCATTTGTCCCGGTTCATGAACCGGGACTAAAGGGTCGTTACTAAAGCCATGTCCCTTTAGTTTCTACTTATTTATTAAAGTTTATTTTGTTTCTACTTATTTATTTCCTTTTCTTTTTTGCTTTTTTTTATTTTTTTTATGAAAATTCTTTCTTTTTTGCTTTTTTTTATTTTGTTTCTACTTACTGTTGCTGTTTTTATTTATGTTATTAAAGTTTGTTTATTTTACTTTATTAAAGTTTATTTTGTTTCTACTTATTTATTTTATTTTCTTTTTTGCTTTTTTATTTGCTTTATGAAAATTCTTTTTGCTTTTAATGTTTTACACAAAAAAGCCCTCTCCCCAGGCCGGTTCATTGGTCCCGGTTCGTGCCTTGAACCGGTTCTAAAGAACAACCTTTGGAGCCGGTTCAAGGCACCAACCGGGGTCAATAGTGGTGGGCCAGGAGCAAGGTCCATTGGTCCCGGTTCGTCCCACCAACCGGGACCAAAGGTGTCAGACGAACCGGGACCAATGCCCCCATGAGGCCCGGCAGGCCCCCTGGCCTCACGAACCGGCACCAATGGGCGCATGGGTCCCGGTTCGTGACCGAACCGGGACTAATAGGCTTATCTCCCCCGGACATATGCCCTGTTTTCTACTAGTGACCATAGATACACATATGAGAAACAATGGGGTATAATACATGCATACATATAGATACACATACTAGTGACCATATATATGAACAACCAAAGCATTCATGACAGTACAAAAATAAATAGGCAAGCACAACGCATGCTAAATTCTCCCTCTTATATATGCATTATTTCCGGAAAAAGGGATTCACACTAGTGACATGTATGGTGACATAGATGAGAAATATAGGTATGATATCACAATTTTTTTGCACAAAAATTGTACAATAGAAACACATATAGAAAATAAAGAACCATCGATGTGGTGTTAAAATACATCTGTAGATCAAAAGCACTAAGGGAAAACCGAGGTAGTTTAGGTTAGAGGAAGACTTAATTATATGCTATCTCAACATATTGTAGATGCACTGGAAAGCATACAAGTTAGATTTTGCAAAATGACAGACCTATCAGAGAACATCTCTATGCTGGAAGCACATATGAGAGAACAAAGAAGAAGTACAAAGAAGCAATGTAAGTAGAACAGTAGCTCGTTAAATTATGTTGATGCTAAATAACCTTTGAATTGAATATGAATGAAGAAAGAAAAGTAGATCTTGGATTGCATTACTAGCACAATAATGAAGCTAGTCAGGTGCCTGAGTTGGCTCACTTAGAAAACTCACGACGGTGGTGACCTGCAACATATTCAGTAAATATGAGAAATTCAGGCACTCCTATTAGGATAGTGTTTCATATACAAAACAACGCTCTAGAAAGTGACAACTAGAGAAAAATAGAAGCATGGTTAACATGCCGCACTCTCGGCAACGAAGAAACACACAAAGGAAACATAGAAGCATGGAAACAACAGGTTAATGCAGTATCAACATAACTTATATGTTGTGGAAGCATAGAATTTATGAAATTGCAAATGGCCAAAGCTTTCCATCAATATGTGGGTGCATCATTCTATCACCAAGAAAACAAATTTCATCTGAATTAATTGGTGGTTTATTCAGGTTACACACTAACCTGGGTAGGCACATGAGGCGAGTTGTAATAACGGTCCACCCGATAGTGAAAACAAGAACGGGAAAAGAAAAGGAAATATGTCCACAAACTATATAGACCGAAGAAGCGTATGTAGTATCAATGGCGAAGCCACATACAAGCTGGGTAGTCAATTTACTACCCAACTTTTTGATAAAACTAGCATATAGGTGTAGAAATATTGAAACAAATTTGTATAAATTCATATATTTGACTACACAGCTTTAAATTGACTACACAAGACAACATTTCTGGCACTGCCACTGGGTAGTATACATCCGAAGCATGTGTGTTCTGAGGCATGAAATTGTTCCTATATCAACCTGACTCGACTTAATTGGAAGCATATAATTTGCGAGAATTGTTGCCAACATGTGTGTGCGTGTTTGTGTGATCTATATGCACCGTCAGTCCTGGAAACATCTTTTGGAAAGGGGAAATGTGTATGCATCGTCGGTCTCTTCCCTGACAGAGTCAATAGTGTTGACGTGTGGGTACTTCCACAGCAACAGAAGCGAGGAGATAGGTGCACGATCCAACGGCTCAGATTGAGTCGCGCCAGGGAGTAACCGCGCGAGTGGCCAGAGAGAAAGATACACTCATTCACCTTGCCATTTTAGACGCTGCGCATCCATCAACTTCAGGAAGCACATCACTCTGGACTGAAAGTTGTACTATATCTTTTTGTCTGATTGCATTACTAGTCATACACTAGTGCCTGTCGTTACCATAGACACTAATGTGGAGCTTTGACTCAGAAATTTTGTGGCGGTCATCAGTTACCCTCTTCCACGGGCACTGAAATTTCTGCCAGCGACAATGAGGTTCACCAAAAAGTCTGAGCCTGAGTTTACTCACTTAGAAACTCACCAAGGTGGTGACAGGCAACATCTGCAGTAAATATGAGAAATTCAGGAACCATCAGGATAGTGTTTCATATACAAAACAATGCTCTAGAAAGCGACAACTAGAGAAAAATAGAAGCATGGTTAACATGCCGCACTCTCGGCAACGAAGAAACACACGGAGTAAACATAGAAGCATGGAAGCAACAAGTTAATGCAATATCAACATAACTTATATGTTGTGGAAGCATAGAATTTATGAAATTGCAGATGGCCAAAGCTTGCCATCAATATGTGGGTGCATCATTCTATCATAAAGAAAACTAATTTCATTTGAATTAATTGGCGGTTTCTTCAGGATGCACACTAACCTGGGCGGTAGGCACATGAGTTGCAATAATGGTCCACCTGATAGTGAAACAAGAACTGGAAAATAAAATAAAATATGTCCACAAACTATAGACCGAAGTTCAAAGAAGCAAATTTAGTACACATTGGAAGCATGGGTGTTTTGAGGCATGAAATTATTCCTATATCAACCTGACTCTTCCTAACTGGAAACATATAAATTTGCAAAAATTGTTGCCAACATGTGTGTGCATGTTGTGTGATCTATATGCATTGTCAGTCTTGGAAACATGTTCTCTTGAAAGGGGGAAATGTGTAAGCATCGTCAGTCTCTTCCCTGACATGTACGTATGACCACCGTAACAGACGCGAGGAGATAGGTGGATGATCAAACGTCTCAGATTGAGTTGCGCTAGGGAGTAGCCGCACGAATGGCCTGGGAGAAAGATCCCTCATTCACCTCGCCATTTAGAGTCGCTGCACATCCATCAACTTCAGAGAGCACATCACTCTGGACTGAAAGTTGTACTATATCTTATTGTCTGATTGCATTACTAGTCATACACTAATGTGGTGCTCTCACTCGAAATTTTGTGGCGGTCATCAGTTACCCTCGTCCACGGGCAATGAAATTTCTGCCAGCGACAATGAGGTTCTCCAAAAAGTCAAGCTGCCAGCGTTTAGACCTCAAAGACTAAGTCGTCGTTTTTTTTTTTTGCTTAAAAGTCCAAGTCGTCGTTGGATTTGAGAGAGGGACAGAGAGAGATAGAAGCACGAGAGGTTCCTTTGGTGAAGCTTGCCGTTTGCAAGTGTTCCCTTAGATTTGCTTCAGGTGATCGCTCACTGGGCTAAACCCAACACCTCCTTCCAACTCGGGTGCTCGTCACTCCAGCCACCCAATGCCGACGCTAGAGCCAGACCACGCCTTCGCAGCTGGCATCCTCCTCCTCGCCGTCTTGGTTTTCGTGGGCGTCGGCCATGCTGCAACGGAGTCTGAGGCCGATGCGCTCCTGGCCTGGAAGGCCAGCCTCGATTACCCGGCCACGATGTTCAGCTCCTGGAACAAGACCGCGCCAGTCTGCTCCTGGCTCGGCGTGTCATGCAATGCCGCTGGCCTCGTCGAATCGCTCAGGCTCCGGGGGCTAGGCCTGGGCGGAACGCTCGACGAGCTCAACGCCACAGCACTTCCGGCACTCACCACGCTCGACCTCAATGGGAACAACTTCTTCGGCGCCATCCCGGCAAGCCTTTCAAGGCTGCGCTCCCTCGCCGAGCTCGACCTCGGCAGCAACGGCTTCAATGGCTCCATCCCGCCGCAGCTGGGCGGCCTCTCTAGCCTCGTTGGCCTGCGTCTTTACAACAATAACCTCGTCGGAGACATCCCGCACCAGCTCAGCAGGCTCCCCAGGATCGTGCATTTCGACCTGGGCGCCAACTTCCTCACCAACCCGAACGACTACCTCAGGTTCTCGCCGATGCCCACCGTCACCTTCATGTCACTCTACCTCAACTACCTCACCGGCAGCTTCCCGGAGTTTGTCCTCGAGAGCAGTAACGTCACCTACCTCGACCTGTCGCAGAACAATGTCTCCGGACCGATACCGTACTCGCTGCCAGAGAAGCTCCCCAACCTCAAGTACCTCAACTTGTCCGTCAATGCCTTCTCCGGCCAGATACCGGCGTCTCTGTCCAAGCTCTCGAAGCTCCGGGACCTGCGGATTGCAACCAATAACCTGACGGGTGGCATCCCTGATTTCCTTGGGTCCATGTTCCAGCTGAGAGTTCTTGAACTCGGCAGCAACCTACTTGGCGGGGCGATTCCATCGGTTCTTGGCCAGCTCCAAATGCTGCAACGCCTTGACCTGAGGAGTGCCGGGTTAGTTTCCACTATTCCACCACAACTAGGCAACCTTGGCAATCTCAGTTTCATGGACCTGTCCATGAACCAGCTCACCGGCGTCCTGCCTCCGACGTTTGCCGGGATGCACAAAATGCGGGAGTTTGGTGCAGCGTCAAATAAACTCGTCGGTCAGATTCCTTCAGCTTTATTCACGAGTTGGCCTGAGCTAATATCGTTCCAAGCATTTGGAAACTCGTTCACTGGGAAGATCCCAGCGGAGCTCGGTAAGGCAACCAAGCTAGGAATCTTGTATCTCTTCAGCAACGACCTTACCGGCTCTATCCCAATAGAGCTTGGTGAGTTGGTGAACCTGAATACCTGATTCAATTGGACTTGTCCGTGAACTGGCTCACGGGTCCGATTCCCAGCTCGTTGGGTAAACTCAAGAAGCTCAAGAGGCTGGCACTCTTCTTCAACCGGCTCACCGGAACAATCCCACAAGAGATTGGCAACATGACTGCGTTGGAAGTCTTGGACGTCAACACCAACCATTTGGAAGGCGAGCTGCCCACCACAATCACATCGCTTAGGAATCTCCAATACCTCGCCCTCTTTGACAACAACTTTAGCGGCATTGTACCGCCAGACCTTGGGAAGGGGCTGATCTTGACCGACGCGAGCTTTGCAAACAACAACTTCTCTGGTGAACTACCGCAAAGGTTGTGTGATGGCCTAATGCTACAGAACTTCACAGCAAACCACAACAACTTCAGCGGCCCACTGCCGCCGTGCCTCAAGAACTGCACAGGCCTATTCCGTGTGAGATTGGACCAGAACCAATTCACCGGCGACATCTCCGAAGTGTTCGGTGTCCATCCCAGCTTGGACTTCTTGGATGTCTCGGGGAATCAGCTGACAGGCCAGCTGTCTCATGATTGGTCACGGTGCACCAATCTAACAATTCTATCCATGAACAACAATCACCTCTCTGGAAACATCCCTGCAGGCTTGTGCGGACTGACCTCCCTCCAGTTACTGGATCTATCAAATAACCAGTTCATTGGTGAGCTCCCAAGTTGCTGGTGGAAACTAAAAGCACTGGTATTTATGGATGTGTCCAGCAATATATTTTGGGGTAAATTTCCTGCCTCAACGAGCTTGGACGAATTCCCCCTCCAATCACTTCATCTTGGTAACAATAGTTTTTCTGGGGATTTCCCATCTGTCATTGAGACCTGTTGCAGAAAGCTCATCACACTAGATCTTGGGAACAACATGTTCTTCGGTTCTATTCCTACTTGGATTGGAGAAAGTGTCCCTCTTCTAAGAGTTCTGAGCCTCCCATCCAACAGTTTCAGTGGTGTCTTTCCGTCTGAGATATCCCAACTGTCTAATCTGCAAGTACTTGACATGTCCAACAATAACTTTACTGGATTCATCCCAGGCACATTCCGCAACTTATTGTCCATGATGAAACAAATGTCCTCTTGGAGAGTAGAATCTTCCGAAAGGCATGATGTTGTCCAACTGAGCCGGATTTCCGTATTTTCTCGGAGGACTGAGCCCCCCAATAACCGGTCACCATTGAATGAGTACCGAGAGAGAGTTAATATTTTCTGGAAGGGCCGTGAGCAAACTTTTCAGAAAACAATTGAGCTAATGACTGGCATCGATTTATCAAGCAACCAACTTGCTGGGGACATCCCTGAGGAGCTAACATACCTTCAGGGTCTCCGATTCTTGAACTTATCCAGAAATCATCTATCAGGCAATATTCCAGCAAGCATTGGCAGTTTGGAGCTCCTGGAGTTCCTTGACCTCTCTTGGAATGAACTTTCCGGGGCCATCCCACCTAGCATCTCAAATTTTCTGTACCTCGGCGTGTTAAATCTCTCCAACAACCGCTTAACGGGCGCCATACCCACGGGGAGTCAGCTACAGACACTTGTAGACCCATCAATTTACGGCAACAATCTGGGGCTTTGTGGCTCCCCGTTGAGCGTATAATGTCTGGATGAGGGAACTCAAGACCATAGACAACAACTCGGAAGCGATGTGGGGTTGTGTTACTCTGTAATTCTTGGCATTGTTTTTGGTTTTTGGGGTTGGTTTGGAGCTCTGTTTTTCCTCGAGCCATGGCGGTCTTCCTTCTCCCATTTTCTTGATAAGTTGTGCATCAAGTAAGGTTGCTTTTGTGCTTTGCAACTGTAAACCAAGTGAGTAAATAATTTCAGATTTAAATAATACCATGCACCTTTATTATCTCTTGTTAGCTGACGCGAGTGTTTATTTCTTCAGTCTGCTTGAAACATAAGTAATGCGTAATGCCACCATATTTCAATCCTGCAATTACGACATTAATCGTCAATTTGTTTCAGTCAACAAAAACAAGTACCAAGTCTACAAACTACAAATATATAGAGCACATCGAGCCAAGAAGTACATTGTTCAGTTCACTACCTTGCTCCAGCTGTCGAGCAGGAGTGGCTGCGGTTGAGTGGCGCACCCAGAGGAAGTAGCGGCACATCAAACTGCGAGCAAGCGGCCACCGTAGCTGTGCCTCGGTGCCTCATGCGCGCTCTCCGAGTCCTCGCCGGCGTGGAACAGCTTGCGAGCCGCTGTTGGCTGTAGCAGACGACGCGTGGTGATGGCAACCGGAGCCGGGGATCATGCGGGGCGGAGGCACCGGTCGTTGAGGTAGGGGAGCTATACGGCAAGGTGGACCACGCCTCACGGTGACGCCCCGGCAGTTAATTCTACAAAATTCACGCGGGTATATAGTCATAAAGACTCAGAAGCATTACCGTTTAACTAGACACCTTCGATCATTCATGAACATTTTTAAAAAAATTGGGAACATTTTTAAAAATCATGAACAGTTTTTACTAATTACAAACATTTCTTAAAATTTTATAAAAAATTATAATGCGAAAGGTTTTTAAGCATTTTCTTTTGAATCGGTGAACAATTCTAATACACAATGTTATTGATCATGTGCCAATGTTGAGGAAGATTGAAACTAGACTGCTAATCTGCTCCACTCCGCTTTCTATCGGTGATAAACTTACTTTGCTCAAGTCAGTCTTCACAAGCATGCCTACATTCTTCATGTGCACCCTCTCCCCTCCCAAAACAGTGATTAAGCAAATCAACATTTACCTCAAACAATGTTTCTGGAGGAAATATGGCACTCTTTAGTCTGGGACCCCACTAATTTCATGGGACAAGGTGTGTAAGCCAAAAGAATATGGGAGATTAGGTGTCCTAGACATTGGCACACATAATCAAGCACTCTTGATGAAATTTCTTCACAAGTTCCTCAACAAAGCAGATATCCCATGGGTGCAGATAATATGGGAGACATACTATCAATCTTCTTTGCCAGGAGACAAGGCAGTTGGATCATTTTGTGGGAAAGAGATCTGCAAACTACTGCCAAATTATAAGAAACATGCCATTTGTAAGGCAGGGGTGGGTGACACAGCCTTGTTTTGGTCTGATGATCGGTTGGGCATGCCACTTTCTCTCACTTACTCTGAACTCTTCTCATTTGCTATGGAAGATAATATTTCCTTGTCCCAGGTGATGGAGCATCATGACATCAGCCATCTTTTTCATAGACCTCTGTCCCTATAGGCATATCAACAATTCAATGCTTTGACTCAAGACCTCAACTCCAGAGGGACAATCATTATCCAAGATAAATGGCATTACACCTGGAACTGTAATCACTATTCTTCCACGAGGATGTATCAAGCCCTTAAAGAAACAGAGATGTACCATAGCATTTTTGTTGGGGAACATAGTAATTTCAAAAAAAATTCCTACGCACACGCAAGATCATGGTGATGCATACCAACGAGAGGGAAGAGTGTCGTCCACGTACCCTCGTAGATCATAAGCGGAAGCGTTATGACAACACGGTTGATGTAGTCGTACGTCTTCATGATCGACCGATCCTAGTACCGAACGTACGGCACCTCCGCGATTGGCACACGTTCAGCTCAGTGACGTCCCACGAACTCACGATCCAGAAGAGCTTCGAGGGAGAGTTCCGTCAGCACGACGGCGTGATGACGGTGTTGATGAAGCTACCGACGTAGGGCTTCACCTAAGCACCGCTACGATATGACTGAGGTGGATTATGGTGGAGGGGGGCACCGCACACGGCTAATAGATCAATGATCAACTTGTGTGTCTGTTGTTCCTTTAGGGTGTCCCCTTCCCACGTATATAAAGGAGGGAGGAGGAGGAGGCCGGCCCTAGAGGGGGGCACCAAGTGTGGAGTCCTACTAGGACTCCCTAGTCCTAGTAGGATTCCACCTCCCACATGGAGTAGGAAAAGGGGAAGGGAGAAGGAGAAGGAAGGAAGGGGGCGCCCCCCTCCCTAGTCCAATTCGGACCAGTCCATGGGGAGGGATGCGGTCACCCTTGAGGCCTTTTCTCTCCTTTCCCGTATGGCAAATTAAGGTCCAATACGAATTCCCGTAACTCTCCGGCACTCCGAAAAATACCCGAATCATTCGGAACCTTTCCGATGTCCGAATATAGCCTTCCAATATATTGATCTTTATGGCTCGATCATTTCGAAACTCCTCATCATGTCCCCGATCTCATCCGGGACTCCGAACTACCTTCGGTCATCAAATCACATAACTCATAATATAAATCGTCCCCGAACATTAAGCGTGCGGACCCTACGGGTTCGAGAACTATGTAGACATGACCGAGACACATCTTCGGTCAATAACCAATAGCGGAACCTGGATGCTCATATTGGCTCCTACATATTCTATGAAGATCTTTATCGGTCAAACCGCATAACAACATACGCTGTTCCCTTTGTCATCGGTATGTTACTTGCCCGAGATTTGATCGTCGGTATCTCAATACCTAGTTCAATCTCGTTACCGGCAAGTCTCTTTACTCGTTCCGTAATTCATCATCCCGTAACTAACTCATTAGTCACATTGCTTGCAAGGCTTATAGTGATGTGCATTACCGAGAGGGCCCAGAGATACCTCTTCGACAATCGGAGTGAGAAATCCTAATCTCGATCTATGCCAACTCAACAAACACCATCGGAGACACCTGTAGAGCACCTTTATAATCACCCAGTTACGTTGTGACGTTTGGTAGCACACAAAGTGTTCCTCCGGTATATGGGAGTTGCATAATCTCATAGTCATAGGAACATGTATAAGTCATGAAGAAAGCAATAGCAACATACTAAATGATCAAGTGCTAAGCTAACAGAATGGGTCAAGTCAATCACATCATTCTCTAATGATGTGATCCCGTTAATCAAATGACAACTCATGTCTATGGCTAGGAAACTTAACCATCTTTGATTCAACGAGCTAGTCAAGTAGAGGCATACTA